AGTTTTACCGTTAAAGGATAGACTGTTTAACTTTCCAGAGTACCATGTTACAGTAAAATCTGAGATATCGCTGACAAATCTTTTTGCACTGCCGCCAGGCGACCGCCACTTTCCACGTTGTGCTAAAGCTTGTTCAACAAATTTTTTCAACAAATCATAATCATTGCACCAAGATAATCTTTTCCCGTCGTATACAATATTTCTACAAATGATATTGTTGTATATGACGTTGAAATCCCAAGAATTCATACAATCGTCGTCGAAATTAACAGAGCTATATGCCTATATCGCATACAACTGTCCGCCATGTATGGCGCATACAACTGTATACTTGTCTATTGCGTGAATGAAATTACTTACTAGATATTAGCAAGTTTCCTTGGAGTAGGTTGAATCTTTCTTTGCATATTCGCGTTAATAAACTGATTAAACGCGTATAGTAAATTTACTACCCTGCTCGGGACGGAGTGTGTAGGCAACGTGAAACGCTGCTGTAAACATTGGCGGGATTGCACTTCGAAAACATTTTTAATATAGTGAGTACAATCATGATGTACATTAGTTTGTTGAAACACAATAACAGGAATATTGCATTTTTGTCCTTTTTTATCTAAATGTTTACAGTGTTATCTTGTATCTTTGAATTTATCCACTGGATAGTGGATTTAATTAAACTACCTCCGGACCTTGGATAAATTTATCAAGTAGATAGCGATTTTTATCCGCTGGATAAAGTTATCCAAGCTTCGTGCAATGCAAATCACACGCTGGATAAAACTTATCCGTTGGATAGCGAGTTATCCACCTTTCGAACAACCGGCCCCTGGTGTGTTGGAACAACGGTATACGACACATCTAGCTGGCATTTTGCAACGCGAAGTATACAAATTTTGATGCATACGACATATATTTATTGTAATGTGACACTAGTCGATTTTCTTGCCTGCCCGGTATGACGTCAAACCCTATTTAGTTTTCAGACTCTTTTTTCCAGGCCAAATATTGAAAAAAACAATTTTGGCATGTTTTATCCAAAATATCTTTAGAAGTATTTATTCGACCGGGGAATGATACATATCATTCGAATCGCCTGATTTTTGCGAATTTTTGGTGAAAAATGGTAATCATGTCATATGCACTTTAACGATAGTACATTTTGATTGCTCTGGCGTCCATAGATTCCAAATTTTTCTTGCAGAAATTAATTATGTGCCTCTGAAACTGAAAAATCGTGCCACGTTGCCAAATCACGTGATTCACGTCCGGTCTGTATTCAATCAATCAATCAATCAATCAATAAAACTTTACTTAACCACGCTACCCTCATCATCTGTCGATGGTTTTCGTGAGGGGCGTCACACAATTACAATAGATTAAAAATACATATGTACAAGTATTAAAAATAGTATTATAATATAAACGAATAAACATGCAATGTAAGTATTAAAGAAGATAAAAACTAGGAATAATCAATATCTAACTTAGTACTTACATTATTAATTTTTATCATATTTTTCAACATACCTAAAGATTTTGTTTCCTTCGCTTGCTTTGGTAGACTATTCCATAGCGCAGCCCCACTGTAACCAAAACTCTTTTTTAAATCTTCAGTTTTTGGTTTAGTAAGTGAGAGATTTATGTCGTAATTTCTAAAATTATAATTGCTCATATTTTTCTCCCTGGCAATAAATTTATGTTTTAAGTTAGGGGATAAGTGAATGTTTAGTATTTTAAACATCAAAACAGATTTATTCATTTTTAGCTCGCCTGCACTTTAGTGCAAGAGAGCTATTGCTATAGTCTTGGCGTCCGCGTCCCCGTCCCCGTCCCCGTCCCCGTCCCCGTCCCCGTCCCCGTCCCCGTCCCGTCCCCGTCCCCGTCCCCGTCCCGTCCCCGTCCCCGTCCCCGTCCCCGTCCCGTCCCCGTCCCCGTCCCGTCCCCGTCCCCGTCCCCGTCCCCGTCCCCGTCCCCGTCCCCGTCCCCGTCCCCGTCCCCGTCCCGTCCCCGTCCCCGTCCCCGTCCCCGTCCCCGTCCCGTCCCCGTCCCCGTCCCCGTCCCCGTCCCGTCCCCGTCCCCGTCCCCGTCCCCGTCCCGTCCCCGTCCCGTCCCCGTCCCCGTCCCGTCCCCGTCCCCGTCCCCGTCCCCGTCCCCGTCCCCGTCCCCGTCCCCGTCCCCGTCCCCGTCCCGTCCCCGTCCCGTCCCCGTCCCCGTCCCCCGTCCCCGTCCCCGTCCCCGTCCCCGTCCCGTCCCCGTCCCGTCCCCCCGTCCCCGTCCCCGTCCCCGTCCCCGTCCCGTCCCCGTCCCCGTCCCCGTCCCCGTCCCCGTCCCCGTCACCGTCCCCGTCCCCGTCCCCGTCCCCGTCCCCGTCCCCGTCCCCGTCCCCGTCCCCGTCACCGTCCCCGTCCGCGTCCGCGTCCACACTACATGATAAGTAGAATGTTAAGATGCCACTTTTATTTTCCCATTATTTTCAACTTATCTACTTAAGGAGTCGATTTGTTGCAAAAGAACCATTTACCAGGGGGGAGTGAACATTATACAACAAAATATAATGATAAGGTCAAATTGTTAACATGCTATATTTTTTCTATACTTTGGCTTTACATCAGACGAATCATTATCAATATAAGTCATCAATATGCATTGTGACTATTTAGTGCCATTTGGTACGCATTTATACAATAATAAAGAGAGTTTTGCTCAAAATTGTTAAGCTAATTAGCATAATGATAAGGTCAATGTTAAGATGTTATATTTTTTAAATATTATGGCTTTGCATTAGAAGATTCTTTATAAATATAGCTCATCAATATGTCTGGTGACTATATGGTGACATTTAGTACACATTTACACAAAAATAATGGGAATTTTGTTCAAAATTATCAAATGATAAGGTGAATGTTAAGCTAATTAGCATAATGATAAGGTCAATGTTAAGATGCTATATTTTTTTTAAATATTATGGCTTTACATCAGAGGAATCATCATAAATATAAGTCATTGATATGCATTGTGACTATTCAGTGCCATTTGGTACACATTTATACAATAATAAAGAGAGCTTTGCTCAAAATTATCAAATGACAAGGCAAATGTTAAGCTTATTAGCATCATGATAAGGTCAATGTTAGAGTTATCCAGAGTTATCACGCTCATTACGATTTTCAGGGCTATTGTGTAGCCCTGTCTTTTTTAGTTCAAAGTTGTAGCTGAATCATATTTAACGAAACTATTTGTACAACCCTAAGCCAAATGAGAAACTTTCAAATATTTTCACCTGTATGCTACCATTTGTTTGTATTGTACATGTACAATTATAAATTATGAGATTGTGTTGTGACATGCCGTATCAAAATTCAATCGCTTAATATAGAAATCATTCTGTGAGTGAATATATATAAAACATAGTCCAACGTTAAAGTTTAAAGAATATTGTCAGATAATTCGCAATTACAAGCTTTAGCACATAAGTATTTATAAGTAGAAAGCCGATAAGCTCGGAATGCAAAGGCAAATGGCAACGCACGTGACATATATTTGCATATTATTTATGTAGATACACATGCAAATATATTATTAAAGCCAGTTAAATTGTAGAGAGGGCCCTTTGAACTACCTATAAGATTTATGTACATACCTTTTCGTTGTTTGATGCATAATCCTTTTTTGTGTAGATATAAAAATCCAATCTTGTTTATTTCATAAAGCTAGGCGCACACATGACGATTTTAGTCGGCCGATTCCTGTCTAGATTGTCTAGATGGATGTTTTCATCAAAATGTGGCGACTGGCAATCTATACTTGTCAGATTAGACCAAGTAGAGGCCCGGCTTAAAGCAGGGCCTTTTGCCTGGTCCGTTAACTTACCTGTTGATATCACGTGCGCGGATTGCGAGAAACGGTAGAAATATTGGTCACAAATAAAACTAATGTAATTCCGAGGCCAGTTTTGGCCAGTAATTCTAAGGTCACAACTAATATCTGAAGTTTGGACTTAATATTACCTTCCAAAGCGGATTTTAGCCTTGTAATTTGTAATAAAAAGATCGGTAATTTGTGCTTCATACAGATACCTTTCATACAGAGTTTATCCTTATTCTAGACAAACAGTGCAGGCGAGCGTTAGGTGATTTCAGCACCTCTCTGGTATGTCTATCATTCAGACTCTTCCACGACATAGCATGGAGCAAATCTGTTGATCTAACATCGTAGTTGGCCCTGTCATAATTCTTGCCACCCTGTTTTGTAGTTTTTGTAATTTTTCAATGAGTAAGCTTACACAATTATCCCATAAAGGAGAGCAATAATCAAAATATGGCAGCACGACAGAATGATACAAATTTTGTAAAGTTTCGTACGGTAAAAATTGTTTTACTCTTTTAATAATTCCTGCATTTTGCATCTATATGCTTATCCCAGCTCATTTTTTCGTCGCAAGTAACAGGTTTATCATTAATCATTACTTGGTCATTCCCAACTTTGTGTTTCAATTTATAAGAAGATCCAATAAACATTGCTTTTGTCTTTTTTGTATGAAGCTGTAATTTGTTTTGGGAGAGCCATTTGACTATATTTTCTTGATTCTGATTAAGTTTTGTTATTAGTTCTGAGAAACTTGAAAAAGACGCATATATTTGCGTATCATCGGCATACATGCCAGAAGTTGTGTTTTTTAAACATTCTGGCAAATCATTTATATATAATAAGAACAAGAGGGGTACCAAAATAGATCCCTGTGGGACTCCGCATATATTTTTTTTTGCCTGAAGATGTATAGCCATCAACCACGCAGACTGCGATTCGACTTTCGACACGTACGTAAGATTGGAACCACTGCAGCTCCAAATTTTGAACGCCAAATTGCTCGTGCAACTTTTTTAGTAAGATTTCATAATCAATAGAGTCAAAGGCTTTCTGAATATCAACTGAAATTAATCCGGTTATTTCTCCATCGTCTATATTTTCAATCCACTTATCACTCATGTGTATTAATACGGACAATGTCGAATGTTTGGGTTGGAGGCCCGATTGAAAACGTGAGAGCAATGAGTGATCTATCAGTATCATTGATGCAGGTATTGATAAAGTTGACCAAATACTTCTTTCTCAAATAATTTACTTATTATGGGAAGAATGGATATTGGGCGGTAGTTCTCGCATTTCGTTCTGTTTACCTTTAAGGCCTCCACTTACACGTGCTCGTACCTGCAATCGCACGTACAGCTTGCGCGTTGACGGCCGCCTTGAAGGTAGACAACAGTTCCAACGTCATACGAACCGGTACAAAAAATGAGATCGGCCGCACTGAATATGTGCCAGTGGAGGCTGGGCTTTATCAGCGTCCTAAAAATTTGCAAAACTGTTAATCTCATGAGCATGCATATTAACGTGGTTAATGTAAAGAATAATAATTTTCTATTTCCATGACTGATGAAAACCGACTGGAGAATGGCGGCAACGTTATACGTGCATTGAACTAGTTTTTTATAGCTTTGGTATAACTTGCTGTAGTTTTATGGTTGACAAAGCTGAGCGCGTCGTCGGGCTGACCGCAAAGTAAATCGCACTCTCTTTTGTCTCTTTGTAATTTAGACAGTTGTCTGTTCAACCGAGTACCCAGGGTGTTTTCACCCAGAGTCTTGTTGTCAATTGACACATTTGATACAAAGCTGTTTTTCTTCTCTCATTTCATTGACGGTTTTATTTCAGTCATAATAGGCACACTTATTTCATGTTTTTGCTATTTTCTTAGGAACCGTATACAGTATTCTAATATTTGGTTTATGTTTCTGGTTGTCACTTTGATCTCGCGGACTGTTAATGGAATCTGTAAGATACAACCAGGTATGTTTAATGATACAACACTGTTTTCAAAATCAACAAATGAACGATTGTGGTGTCATCGTATTGTTACATGCATTCTACACAGCACGGTTGTCTATACCACGGTCTTCGCATCAAAAAATTAAAAGCTTTTCGTTTTCCCACTGCTCTCTATTTTATGTAAGATATCCTCTGACAATACGAGCCTGCAAAAGTGGGAGAAATTTTGCTAATTTGGATCAGCATGCAACACTTCCTCTCTTTACGGGGCGGGGAACCAGTTTCTTGTGAAGAAGAATTGCACCCTTTCTACCCAAGTTAATTGGCTGCGAAACCTTTCCCTAGCTATAGTCGTGCATGTCTTGTGTGTCCCTGTCCTTGTCCATCTTTGGGGATTGAGTCCATTGAATCTTGAACTATAACGACAGCCAGTGTGGAACTGAAATCATTAGTAACTCTAATATATACGGTGCTTATAATTACATAACGCAGCGAACTTACAAAGACGAATTAGAATACGAACTATCTTTCGCTTGCATAAGTTCCTCTAAACTTTTCTTATTTTCCATTGCAGAATGCGGACGAGCAACACCAAAGAATTTTAAGTTTTCTGGTCCTATAACTGGGCCGAGATATTATTCACATCCGGGACCACTAACTTTGACCTGTAATGCATCTGGCGATATACAAAAGATGTACTGGGAACGAACTGATATTAATGGTAGTGTGCGACAATTGAATTACACAACATTTGGGAAAGTTTCGTCCTTTTGGATAGCAACATTAGACAACTATTTATCCACAAACAAACCTAAGTTTAGTTTCATCTGTGTAGCTTTGGATATTTGCTGTAATAAGCATATAACAGAACGATCCAAAACTATAGAACTAAGGAAAACTAAAGCTACTCCAAGTAAGTTCCCCCACCGTTTTTTCATTGTTTTGTTCTTTTACTTTTACATCATTTTTCTTTGCGAGCGAAAATAATTCAGGGTTTTAAAAACTCGCGGATTTTGTGTGCCTCAAAAAATACGCACGTTGGCTAAAGACCTATATAATCAAATTCCTGTTAGATCAGACTTATTGCACTGAAATCAAAAGAAAAGTAGCCCATATGAACAGGTGCACACTTTTAAATGCAAAAATCCTTGATAAATGCAATAATTTATCTTCTCTCCAAACGAATTAAGTATAATTTGGTACTTCGAGCTACTTGTGCACTCTCTTTTGGATTAATCGTTTTGCTGTTACTCATTTTGTAGGCAAATGCATTAAAGATGTTTTGATTATTGTTGATGCTTCAGCTTTGCGTGAATACAGAAACTATATACTCTGTACAGTGTTTCTTCGTGCACTTGTCGACAATCTTCAACTGAATGTTTCACCAGAAGGAAGCCATATTTCACTCATGACGTTTGGTTATCAGCGTATATTTCAGTATACTCGAATAAGTATATCAATGAAAAGTCGGAATAAAACGGAACTGAAAAGCAAAATTTTTATGTTCTACACTCCCACTTGGATAGATAATAGTGTAAAAAGAACAGATGTAGCTTTACTAAAAGCAAATGAGGTAAGTCAAATTGTTTATGGTTTCAAATCTAATCAGTTATTCAGTGAATATAATTATAAAATAACATGTGTATAACGCGTTTTCTGATTAATCCAAGCCCGTGTTTGGATCAGGCCATCCAAACACGGAATTTTAAAGTTTTAAAGATATTAAATTTGAATTCGCGCGCTTTTCTTAACTCTCGCAACACTCCCGCGTATTAGGATTAGGCCATCCAAACACGGAAACCATTAAGTAATTGTACATTCATATTATAGACAAATGTAATTAGTTACATGATATTAAAAAAGTCAGTAACATTTTTTTCAGAAAAAAATATATTAAGCTATTAAATTGTAGCACTGGAAATATCTCAAACTATCAGTATTATTTAATATATACAGTACTAACTTTATTATCTATACCACGTGCATGGTCTTTTATGTTAATATACCACGTGCATGGTCTCTTATGTTAATGGTTTGCGACGATAAAAGCATCCAAGATTATCTTAAAGGATAGCGGTCAAATCAGTAACCATCAATTTGTGACCTCCTTTCCTTTTCTATATAACAAAAAGCATGTATAATAGCATCAATAAAGTGGCTCTAAATATACATAGATTTGTTATTTTTCAGATATTCAAGAGAAATAATCCACTAAATCATCGAGAAGATAAAGATGATGTCATAATTCTGCTCACTGATGGACCACCAACGACAAGGTCGGGAAAAGGTGAACAACCGCACGACATCGCCATAGCTGAAGCAAAAAAATTGAGAGACAAAGGCATAGTCATTGTTGGGATTGCTGCTGGTAACCGTCAACAACAAGTTAGAACTTTGCCATTCTTGAAAAATGTATCAACAGCTGGTCAAACGCTTCCATCAACATTTTTGAATTTGATTCTGTTGGACGACAGAATTGTCCACGCTTTCTGTCCCCGACCTCCCCCTGGTGAGATTTCATTCTTTATAAACTTTCAAGAAAAATGCTGATCCGAAGAGCTAATATAGATCCGTAAAATATCCGAAAACACGATAATTACTGAATTATGAATAAAGTGTTGATTGGTGGTGGCGTTCGGCGGGAAAATTTTGTTTTCAAATTTTTCTTTTTTGTCGCCAGTTATTAATCGCCAGTTAGTACCGAAAGCTAAGAATAAATAATATTTTATCCTTGGCAATTATTAATTTACTGCTACTCCTAATCATTTAACAAAGGATTATAGACATTACCATTTTAAATTTGAGTTTGAAATATTTCAATTTTCCTTACTGATACACTCTATAGGTACATAGTCCTAAAAATTATTTTGAATTCTGCCTTTCTTCAAAGAAAATGGCGGATCTCATTTTAAAAAGTTTAGAGAAATTGCATGATCACCACAATTTACAGACTTTACTCTTATATCTATTTTTAGGACCCAGTGAACCTAGAAACTTATCCGTCGTGGTACATGGAAGAAGTTTAACACTTTCATGGCTGAAGCCAGAAATTGCTGCTGATAATATTATTGACCATTATCTAGTATCGTGGGGGACAAATCAGAGTGACCTATTGTTCCAAAAACCGGTTGTGTTAAGTCCTTTTCAACGTTATTTTGGTGAGTATGCACTATACTAGAAATACATGCATGCAGCAACCCCTCGCCTCGGTTAAAGGAAATTAGTTAATGATTGTTAGAAATTTTATGTGGTTTGGGGGTTTTGGAGGATACATGGTATGTGAGAAATAGAAATTGAAAACAGTATAGAAATATTTTTCTGCACGTGGAAACACTGTAGTCATAGCAACTCGCAACGGCCGTATATTTTTAAAGAATCAAAGTTTACCCTCATATTTTTGTGAAAAAAATGGCAAAAATACGACAAGATTCTTACCTTTTTCTGGAAGTTAAGTTACTCATCTATAGTCAGTGTTATGATAAATTATTTTAATTATTAAATACCATGAAATATAACATCACACGTCTCATACAACTTCCGAAGTTTTATATTAAACGCTTCGACTGGTTTTTGTACGGGAATGTTCTGATTTTGTTTTCTTTTTGTCATTATGAAAACGGAGTTTATAAATAAAATTATAATGTCGTTTATCACATAACACATTCAGATTTATAGTGAAATACATTTGAGAATATTAAAGTTGTGTTTTCCACAAAAGAATTACTTTTTAAAGCTGTGCCGGATGAAATGTTATCAAGCGTAAAATCTTCCGACTTCATTATGCACGGTGAATTCGATCTTGTTATTGGAAAATTTGGTCTTGTTATTTGTTAAACAGTGAAAATTCCTGACCTCATTCGAGTTTCCCTCTAATTTAGTTAAAATACATATATTCCATATTTCAGTATAAAATTTTAAATTTGTAAATTTCATAAAAATTTTGCTAAATGACAGTTATTCATTGACGTTTGAAAATACAAATTTTTGTCTCGACCAATCAAGAGCTTAGCAGTTCACACTGGCGCATGCGCAAAACGTACAGGACCGTCCATGGCGTGAGGTCCATTGCATAATGGCGGACGATTTTGATTTCGCATTTGCATATCGTGGGTATAAATATCCGAGCGGAATTAGTACCCTCGCACGGTGCTCCGCACCGGCTCGGGGATTATTTAATATAGCTGAAATTGCAACAGAAGTTATGCAAAAAGGTTTTAAAATATTGAAACAAATTTCGTATAAGCAATAATGTTGAAATCAATCACTTTCACAACAATGCGCTTTACACCAACCGAAGTGAAAATGCATTGAAACAGCGCACGATTATCGTCGTCGTTTTAGATATCAAAAAAATATAACTATATAACAATGCCCTTCTTGCACAGTCAAAGTTTGGTTGGAACTTCGAATTTGAAATTTTGTCAGTTTCCTATGCCTATTAATTGCCATTTCATGGGGATTAAATATAAACTTCTCATAACTCAGAAAACTGCTTATCACCATTAATCTTCTAGTCATCGATCTAATAAATCTTCTAGTCATCTATACATTTCCTTCATTTTTTTAGAAAAACCTGGATTATACAATTTTAAAGTGCAAGGTGTTGATAAGAATGGTATCAGTGGTGAAGCCGTCTATCTTTACAACGTAACAATCGAGCGACGGAAGGGTGTTCCGACAAAAAGTGCAGAGAATACACGAGGTGTTTCGACGGACAATGCCGTGGGTGGTCAAAACATCTCAACGGCCATTATCGGGGGGGTAGCAGGATCTGGTGTGTTTATTTGCCTGGCTGCGTTTTCCCTTTTATTTATAGTAAAGAAAATTCAGAATAGACGCAAAAATAATTCGATCAAGGTAAAACCAACAGTTTCCATATATTTTATATACTATATATATAGTAATGATATATAATATAGACATTTACTCAGTGGAGCAGCTAGCATCGATAATTGGGGTGGAGCCCATATACATATTTATATGTTAACAGACTGTAAAGCCAATTGATTTGAAAAGAATTTAATCCTGCGTATCACGAATATATGAATATCGGTCCCCAAATTCTAGTTCTGCATGGTTACGCGAATGTTATTAATTTTTTTGTTACAAACAGTGTGTGATGACTGAAATGAAAATGTATCACTATTATAGCATATCTGTATGTAACTCCGCTGCGTGTTTCTTCGGAAAAAAAATGCTAACAGAAGATATTTTCTTGCATGCAAGGAAGTAGCATGCAGGCACGGCTACATGCATCATGCATGGCGTCTTTTTGCAGATGTTCTGTTTGCTTTAACCTTGTCAACCTTTTGAGATATTACGATTATTACCGACATAAATTTTCACCTTCGCTATCATGGATGCTCATATCTACTTTAATATATCTCCGATGTTCACATAAATTTTCGCCCTCCGCTATCACGGATGCCGGGTGTCCCAAAAAAAACTTTACCTGTTTGTCTTAATATAACTCAAAAACGATAAAAGCTATTGAGTTGAAATAAACTCCACTGTATACAAGCAGGGCTAACTTAGATTTTGATATATAACATTAAATTATTGATGTGATATTGACGGAGATACAAGCATTTGATGTCGCAAGATACTTTCAAAATCCGTGAATAAATTGACAAAAATCGGCTATTAAATTAATTCGAAAATACTTGCATGCCACTTCCCGTGGTAAGTTTTTAACTTCAGCGATTTTAATTTTAATTGTTCGCTCTTATATAAGAGTAAGTTTGCAATGGAAAAGCGTACATTTAAAGTTAAAATCACTAAAGTTAAAAACGTAAAAGTTAAAGTATTAGTTTCGAATTAATTTAATAGCCGATTTTTGTCAATTTTGCACAGATTTTGAAAGTACCTTGCGACATCAAATGCTTGTATCTCCGTAAATATCGCATCAATAATTTAGTGTTATATATCAAAATCTAAGTTAGCCCTGCTTGCATGCAGTGGAGTTTATTTCAATTTAATGACTTTTATTCGTTTTATATTAAGACAAAGAGGTAAAGTTTTTTTTGGGACACCCAGACCTTTCCCCTTTTTGGCGTTTAAGTGCCAATGCGTGACTCACGGTAGTTGATTCCGCCATATATGTTCAGGAGCGATTTATTTCTAGATTTCGTAAACGATTAACAAAAAACCAAAAAGAATCGGCAAGCTTTCCTTAGAAAGAAGCTCAAAGTTGTTTCATAATCAACAATAATCACGCATTGCGCGCTTAAAAGTTAAAAGGGAAAAGATCTATTGCATCAAGTATATGCAAGACAGACGTCTGTATTCTAAAAGCTCACTCACACTCAAACTCATTGAGTGGGAAATCTTAATGTTATCATAACGTTTCTATGGCGGTATTTCCAGCCGAATAGGGGCTTGATTTTCAGTGTTTTACCTTAAATCTTTCCACCAATTCCGAAATAACTTTCTCATTTACCAGCATTAACAAAATTTATATGTCACACTCAATGAGTGTAAGTGTGAGTGAGCTTTTTGAATACAGGCGAGAATGTCTGAAAACGAATGTTTACTCAAGATGTAGATCTTTATGAAAAAAGTCAAAGTTTACAATAATTTTTTTTTTCTTTTTTCTTCATATGACAGGAATTTGAATCCTGGATCGCAAGTTCTCGAAATGATGCATTGTTTGAGCTGGAACAGTTGAACGAAGAAAGCGGTTAGTAAATGTAGCTGCAGGGAAATTTTTTTATTCAAAACAAAGAATCCTATATTCTCCCATTAATTAGGTAAAATTTTGTGCCACTTCACTCAATGTTGAATTGTAAAGTGAAGTACCACAAAATCTTAACTCATTCAATTAATGCAACCTGTTCAATGTTTCGAATAGAGGCATGCGCTGTGGAAAGTTAAATTTGCAAATCTGCAAGATAAGTAGCTAAAATGTCTATGATATGATGATAAAAGTGTGAAAAAGATTTTTCATTCTTGCGCATGGCAAAAAACAAATCATTTAAACACACCCGTCATTGGTGATGAAATAATATAAAAGAATGGCATTCACTAGACTTTTGGTGTCTATTGTCCATATATACTTTCTAACATGGTGTAAAATTTCCCAATTAGCTGGAACATGAGAAAAAACACGAATTTTCCTTTAGAGCTCCAGCCAGAAGAAATCTCATATGTAACCTTATTGAAAGACTGGGAAATTTCGCCAAACCACTTGCACATAATGGAAAAAACACTCGGGGCTGGACAATTTGGAATCGTTAAGCAAGCTTCATATACGGCTCCGGGGCACGATAATCCTGAACTTGTTGCTGTCAAAATGTTGAAAGGTAAATAATTTTAAATCAATTCATATTGCATTTTATAATAAAACATTTATAATACGCGCGTGCTGATTGATCAAAAAGCGTGTTTCTATATATATAACTGTATAGAAACAAGAGACTTTTCCCACCGAGATTTGACAAGCGAAGTAATGTAATGAGAATTCAAATTATGATATCTGTGCAAATCTTTTTATTGAGTAATATTATAAATGAAATAGATAAAAAAATTTCTTATGTTTCTATTCAGTCATAGAAAACGCTCGAGAGTTTGGGAGAACTCGAATTAATAACCTCCTTCCAAACCCCCACGAGTATCTCTATTGTTTTAACAATTAGTTTTTGAAAGCGAGGTGATTACTGAGCCAGAGGCTTAGGCGACTTAATGTTTTAGTATAAATTTCGAGGTGTTTGCAAATAATAATCAACATAATTTCATCAAAAATTCTAACTGATTACTTTAAATTTCTTATTTGAAAAACAACAACAAAAAGCATCAGATACAGTGAATCTTGACCAATCAGAATGCTGAAAAATCAATATTCACCTCAAAATTTATACTAAAACTGTTTAGAAACACGAAAAATGTTTTCTATTTCTTATAAATAATTTATAACGTGCAACTTTTAAAATTGTTGACCTTGTTTCAGATACTGCGAAGAAATCTGATATATCTGATCTTTTGGCTGAGTTGGAGACCTTAAAAAAAATTAACGAAGAACCTCATCCAAATGTTATACGATTTATAGGCGGTTGTTCAGTGGAAGGTACGACAAAAATGGAAAACCATTATTATTATAGTTGTTGATTAATATCTCTTCTTTAGTAGGTAGGGTTGTTCGGCACTTTGTAATTACGTATTTTTAATTGATGTCGCGAATATCAAATATTTTACTTCAGGAAAACTAATGGTGGTGACAGAGTTCTGCTCTGCTGGAAATCTTCGGAAATTTCTGAGGAAGAGTAAACTTATTACTAACCTTGACTCGCATATAACTTCCACCTTGAACGATCGTCAACTCTTGAAAATTGCCGTTGATGTGGCAAGTGGAATGGCGCATCTTTCGAATCAAAAGGTATTATGACAGTTGTGCACATGAGAGTAAGGCCCATCTCAGTTAGCCCATGCAGCATCAGGCCCAGTATTTCTAAACGATAACGTGGTGACGTAATTATGAAAGAGTCTATTCCATAAGATTGAAAAATTGTGCTTCTATACAAGTGTAAACATGTATCTTACATGCAGCCACTGTATCAATCTTCATGAACGTGAACTACCTGTTTGCGTTATATGCTTATCCATGCCATTAATAATTATTGCATTCACACATGGTGTTAACCTTCTTGCAATATTTTAGTTTGTCCATCGTGATTTGGCAGCCAGAAATATCTTTCTTTCCGGTGAATTAGATAATGTTGCAAAAATTTCTGATTTTGGTTTGGCGAGAGATATTGGAAGTGCTGAGGAATATATACGAAGCAATCAGGTATATGAAGTGTAATAGTAAGGGCAATTTTACTGCAAAATGATGTTTTAATTTGCATGATTAGTTTGCCAAAAGAGCGAATCTGATTATCTGAGGCATTATACATAAGCTAAACTAGAAAATATTGATTTATTCTTAAATTATTTTCCAATACAACGTATATTTGATGAAACTCCTTTTGAAAATATTTAACAAATAAAAGAACCTGGACAAAAAAAGAAAGAAAAATTAGCAAAAATTGTAAATGTTTAAATTTTATTCAGAATAGATGCCATATCAATTTTGAAGAAGGCTCGGTGTATTTGTTAATGCATATGCATGTTGAACCACGTCACGAGTTTTTCCGCCGATTTTATTGACATGCAATTAAACCAAAAAGGTTGACATAAAAAATCAGTCGCGTAGCCAGCCTGACTGACAATTTGTCCCGCTATGCTATGTCATGCTATGCTAACAGTAGCGTAGCCAGCCTGACGATTTGTCCCGCTATGATAATATTTTGGTGTTCATTGACTGTGAAAACAATAAATTTCTAAAGATATGAATAATTATAATAACTCGAAATTTGCATAACGGGACAAAATCGTCAGGCTGGCTACGCCACTGTAAAAAATACAACTTTGTTTTGCTTTGGAAACAGTACAACTTTTTATTCCATACAAGCACATAGTAAGGCCTTTTTTAATTTTTTTTTTATTAGAATCTTCTTCCTGTTAAATGGATGGCCTTGGAGAGCCTAATTCGTGGCATATTTACCACAGCAAGCGATGTGTAAGTTTTTGCCTTAATGGTTATAGGTTTATTCCTTGGGCAGGTTTACGAGTGGCCATAATACGTTTGTTCCTAGGGCAGGTAGAGAGTGGAGATAGTACTTTAATTACTGCTTTGTCATGTTAGAGACCGGTCATAGTACGCTTGTTCCTTCGCCAACGGTCCGGCCCAAGTTAGAGTCTGGCCATTTTACTTTTGTTCCTTTGGCAGGTTGGAGACTGGGCATAGCACGCTTGTTCTTTGCGCAGGCTAGAGACTGGACATAGTGCGTTTGTTCCTTGGGCAGTTTAAAGTTAGGCCAGTTAACTTTTGTTCCTTGGGCAGATTGGAGACTGAACATAGTACGTTTGTTCCTTGGGCAGGTTAGAGTCTGGCCATAGTACGTTTGTTCCTTGGGCAGGTTAGAGACTGGCCATACCTTTTACCTTTGGCAGGTTAGGGACTGGCCATTGTACCTTTGTTCCTCAGGGAGGTTAGAGACTGGCCATAGTACGTTTTTTCCTTGTGCAGGTTACAGACTGGACATACCTTTTACCTTTGGCAGGTTAGAGACTGGCCATATTACATTTTTTCCTCGGGGAGGTTAGGGACTGGGCATATAGTACGCTTGTTCCTTCGTAGGTTAGAGACTGCATAGCACGTTGTTCTTTCGGCAGGTTAGAGACCGGCCATTGTACTTTTGATCCTAGGGCAGGTTAGAGACTGGGCATAATACTTTTTGTTTCTTATTTAAAGCTCAGTTTACTCGTTCCTCTTTTTTCACGAATTCCAGTATTGCACAGCATTTATGATGACTACTCAAATAATGAAAAAATCGTAACGTAAAATCATATTCCCAGACACGGAGAATGTTATGCATCTGACAGGCATCATTCTGAATTTATAGATGGAGTTTTGGCGTCCTTCTTTATGAAATCGTGACTTTGGGTATGTGTTATCGTATGGACGAAGTTAATAAGTTGTTTGTATACTAAAACATTTCGAGAAAAATAAATGGCGACGAAAATATGCATGAAACCTATCTTTAATTCATAACACTCTTTTGGGGAAGGGTACTACGCAAGGTAAGAGCCCTCTCAAACGGCTCATTTCCATGGCGTTATTTTCACTCAAATAGATACTTGATTTTCAGCGTTTTGCTTAATTTGCATCTTTTCGCTGATTAATAAAAAACTTTCTCATTAATCAATAATGACTAAATTTCAATTTCACACTTAATGAGTGTGAGTGAACTTTTTGAATACAAGCTTTTATAGTGGCTTTGAACGTTTCATTTCAATTTGCAAATTTTTTATTTCTCTATTTTTTCAGCCGTAATAGTCGTTGCCATGCAAAGAATAAGAGCCATAATTTTTATCGCCATGAGATAGAACAGTGAAATCAATGACAAAGGAAAAGACTGTGTCTGCAAATTTTCTCAATTTCTTGTATTTTTCAGGTGAAGAGCCATACAAGGCAATATCACCGTACAACATAATCAATCATGTCGGATCCGGAGGCCGAATGCCAAAACCACCTCATTGCTCAAGTGAAATGTAAGCTTTTGTTTATGCCTTTCCAGGTCCTAGCTGTTTTTTAAGAAACCCAAATGGAGTTACTCTTGCGGGCCTTAAAAACGCATATCGTGCATACATTCTTTCCTTAATTCAGTGTAATAATGTTGCGAGGTGTGAATTTATGCGATGCACGATGTTATTTATCTGATGAAATGCAAAAACGTGTTACTTCCCTATTGATTTTCCGAACATTTATACGATAAAGGCCAAATAATATTTTCATAAAGACTCCACAGAAAAATTGAGAAGCGTATTGTTCCCTGGCTGAACCTGACGCAATCTAGAGCGTTGCTTAACGACTTTAAAAGTTCCAAGAACTTTTTTTATGGATTTCAATGTTAATTAATTTTACATAAAAATATTTTCATTAAATCTTTAAATGTATTATGTAGTAACTTCTTATTAACCGAGCGCGAGGTCTTTACCGAGAAATATCGGACTGAGGTCTTTTTGAACAGACCGAGCACGAAGAGCGACGTTTGTTCAAAAAGATCCAAGTCCGATATTTCTCGGTAAAGACCGAGCAATCGAGGTTAATAAAGAGTTTATATTGTATGGCATAAGGCGTGCATTTGCACTTGAAACAAACAAAGAAATGCACGAATTCCTATTAGTAGCCTGGTACGCATTTAATTAAATAAAAAAAAAAGATATTGCATTGTTGAGTCTTATTGATTTCAAAACAATAAAATTTTCTCTGAAGCATTTGTTTGTGCCTCTTTTTTCAGAATTTCTCTATTTTTCATCTCGTAATGGATCGCCGGTAAGGCCGCTCCATTACGGGAAAGTGCCGGTCAATTACACGAAAGTAACCGTGGACGGGAAAGTAATGGACCGCTGAAAATTCTTCTCAGCCGATTACTGAGCTCGATATCTTCGGAAATGACGCTTGCAATAAAGTATTTAACAATTATTCAATGAGGTTGAACACGATATGAAGAATTATTATTTATTTAAAAGAATTCGCAGTCTGTGATTGGCTAATAGCCATGTGTGAAATCGTCATATCCAACGTGTGACGTCATAACGTGTGATACGACTTTTTTTAGTGTGATAAACAGTCGTTTCCCACGTTTGACGTCACACGAATGGCGAAGACATCAACACAATGGCTTCCTCAAGTGAAAGGTTCGGCAACTTTGAGGAATACATGTTCGTTCTTTTAAATAAATAATAAAACATTTATTGAATTCGGTTTTCACATGATATGAAGAATTATCAAGTCTGATATGAAGAATTATCAAGTCGGCTTGATAATTCTTCATATCATGTTCAACCTCATTCAATAATTGCTAATTATCAAGCCGAAGTTTGTGGTTATCAAGGCTTGATAATTGTTTATAGCATGGATTCCATGGAAAACTGAATTCAATAATTGTTATATTATTTATTTAAAAGAATGAACATTAAAATTTTGAATTGTTCGCTTGAATTTTTGTCGATTTTGCATTCTACAACAAGACTATTCATCACGCGTTATGACGTAGTAACGTGGAAAAAAAACTCGTATCCCACATTATGACGTCACACGTTGGATGTGTGAATTTTTTTAAATAAATAATAAAACTTTTTAATACACCGGTTTCTTTACTCAGATACGAGATAATGTCAAACTGTTGGAAGGTTAATGCGAAGAATCGACCAACATTCTCGGAAATCCACCAACGTCTTCATGATTTGATGATTAATGATAAGGTAAAGGATATCATATACCACGGTCATGCATGTGTGCTGTTTTTATAAGCTAAACCTCGAAGATTCTGTCTTTTTTCCCGTACTACTTTAATTTTTCAATTGCCGTTTGAAAACGAATATTACAGTTCAACCATAGGCAGCTCAAATATGAGTGATAATTTGAACGCCAAAATCTTTCGGCAATTTGTCAACATGGTGTAACTAAACAAATAGCTGAACTCTTAGTCCAAATAATTTGAAACACATAAAATTTAAATCTGTCATGGATCAGCATGCGATTAAATCGTTATATTACTAATAAGATTGAAGGTGACGTTTTGTTGTCCACCCTAACTGCATAATGGCATCCTGTTATAAAATTTCCTAGTTAATATGTTTTTTACTTTTTCATCTTTTGCGTTTTGAGTAAAGATTTTTTTTGGTAGAAATCTTACATCCATGTGAAGCAACTAAAAGAAGGAAAGCTTTCTTTAACGATCGACCCAACTGAGGTTGAGCTCATTGATGAGAAAAATGATGACGTGATCGTTTGAAAAAACAGTTAATATGAAATATGGCTGATAATATTATGTGAATAATGTAGTAGTTCTCATTTGAGTGATGTCATTTTTTTTCCGGCGTTTCAAAATTGATCGAGTGAGACTTCCAAATGAAAATCACGTTATGTATTATTTTCCGACGACATTTATTCTTATAGCAATAATAGGATTTAGCATTCTAAAAACATCCATCAAACAGCGCGTAAAAAACTAGATCAGTAGGTGTGATTTATTTATTTATAATCTGTCTATGCATTGCTCTAGCATAGTGTCTCAAAACCCTTTCGCAGGCTATGAAAATATTGTCGGAAGTAACCGTCATGATTGTACTTGAATACAATTAATGATTTTGTCAAAATGAACCAAAAGGCGGAATGTTTTTTGCATATAAACTACACAGCCTTGGAGAACTAAGAAGGCAGAGTTGCAAAAAGAGTTCAACCTTCCTCCGGTGGGATTTCAAGTTTTGAAAACCTTCCTCAAAAGGAGGTTACGTCACTGACTCAATTAGCAACCAGCATAAAGAAATATTTGTTTTTTTGGTACATGCATGTGATCAATTAGAGTGTTCAACTTTGAAACTTCCTCACATACCACATTGAGAGGAAACCTTCCTCACGGTAAACGAAAATTCTGGTAAAAGTAAGAAATAATGCTGGTAGGACTGTACAATGATAGTAATAAATAATAATAAATGATTTTGTTTTAATATGACTTTTATATTTTTTATATTTTGTAAAGTATTATAAAAAAGAAAATCGTCAGGCAAGTTGCAGAAACGAAGTGAATGAATGTCTAAATAACGGAACTTGGATTAGCATCGAAAAAAGCTTTTAGGTTTCGTGTGTAAATGTTCCGGATGTTACAAAGGAAAATATTGTGAAAATAGTAGGTACATGAAAAATATAGGCGTTTGCATGGGGTTGTAATTTGGCTTACGCATAGCTAGGAACGTATCGCATTCCAGATGCAAAATTCCATTGCAATATTCACTATAACATGCAACTTCGCACACTTGAAAAGAAGCATGCGACAAAAACCCTTTCGATAGTAACGTCACAACATCATCGTCGTTGCCATTTAATTTCTTCTGATATTAAAAAAATTAAAAAGACTCGTCTCGCGCCTTTCTGCCATCAATCCCCCATCGTGCATTATTACATCATAAAGACAATTCTTAATTATTGCATGCTGCAGTTCCAAGATCCTCGCTGAAAGCCCCCCAACAACACAACTTTGGTCTTGATAATTTCGATATCATGTTCAACCACATTCAATAACTGTTTATTATTGTTTATTATTGTTTATTAAAAATGCCCATGTCCAATGTATGACGACATAACTGTACTACGTCATAACGTGTGATAAATGATAACGAGTGGTTCCGATACCACGAAAAAATTTCACTTATTGTTACAAGAATGAACACATCTCGATGAGAGGCGAATTTTATGGTTGTTCATACTCACGTAGATGTCAAGGCGTCATCTGCATCTTTATAGCTTCTATTTAGTCGTTAGTGAACGCATGTTATAGATTTGAATCAATCTAAGTTTATCTGGTCTTTTTGTGGGGTATGTTCAGTATATTCATGGCCAAAAATGCAGCCGATAAGCGGTTAGGTGTGGACTCGTGCGGTTCAGTTTTCAGTTTATAATGATTTCTGGCTGAATTCGAAACAGATAATAAGCACATGGCATTAATGCAGGTAGCAATGCAACCCACTTAAGGTGGCTCCCTACAGTTTTGATTGTGTAATGCGCAATTGTGTTGGAAAGACCATTATTTTATCATCTTACAAAGTATGATCACGAAACTTGGCCACATAACTGCTATGATATCGCAAATTACGAAATATACAAAATTTCATAAAATTTCCTCGTTGCCATGGTAACATAACGATTTTAAAAAGGGCCAATTTACAGATTCTGAGATAATTTTTTCAAATTTTCTTCGGTAAAACTTTCTAATTTTTTCCACACAGTAATCTTATCCATAATTCTATCTAATGTTAGCATTTAAAAAAAATCGTACGAGCACTTTTTTTTAAATCCTCAAAAAATCCTGTTTTTTAATTAAAAAAAATTCGGCTCGTACGATTTTCTTAAAACTTGCACATTTTACGCATTTCAAGATTACAGAAAACTGTGTAAAGTTTGAAAAGAATTTACCGAAGGAAAAACGAGAAAAATACATTTATTTTTATGTTTATGACGTCACAAAAATCAGGATTTCAATTTCCTCGCGCGACCAGTCGACATCCCGCGAAGGCCCGCGCGTGTTTATCAAAAGTTCACAATGACAAGTTTTAAAAAGCCCGCCCTGCATGCAACATCAGCCACGCGTGTTGCGTGTACTATTTCGCGCGCGACAAAATTACCGCGATACAACCATAGAACTGTAGGGAGCCACCTTAAGATGCTTTCGACGCTACTTAGTTCAATATAGTTAAATTATTCATATTTGTATAATAATTATTGTATCACACAGCAACAGCTAAAGGAAAATGGAGGCTTTCAAAATGAATTTCAACGCGTTGGGGGAACACATGCAAATGTCTTTTAAGCTTCTAAAATGCAATAAAAAAAAACCTAGAGCCTTCATGATCACGAGCCAGATCAGATGTCGGTCTACGATTTGCCGATGCCCGCCTTAAGAAAATGTGAATATAGTTAGCATTTCTTGAAAGGCATGTTGTCCACATATATAATTTCAGGACCGAAATTTAGTGCCATGATTGAGAGGTGGGTTCCAAATTCAAACGGGTTGCTTCAAATTATCGCTTCTATCGTGTAGACAACATATATTTGTATTTTATTCAAAATCTAGCCTTTATCACCATATTCTTTTACTCTCAGTTTATATTGAAGTATTTATAATTCTTGACTTAATTGCACTATGATCAACTGGAGGAAAATTCGGCAAAGTTGCGATCTTTGCAGACCATTTCAGCATGCTTTTCGATTTCTTGTTTGTATTGCAGGACGAACTCCAAGCAAAGTAAAGTAAGTTAAATGTCTATCTTTAAAATAATAGTAATAAGCGTGATTTCTAAACATTGAAGCGTGCTGAATTTATTTTAGGCTCTCGTTCATAAACCACAAGTACGTTACCAAGTACTGCAGCGCGTTTTTCAAAAAAATTATAGATGAGACCTCAAAATCGTAATCATGTTATGAATTGTTATTCTCTGACGATATTTTATTCTTTTTGTAATATTGGATTAGTAGCATTTTAACAACATCAAACAGCGAGTAAATAACTAGATCAGTAGGTGTGATTTATTTATCATCCCTGTCTATGGCCCTAGCAAAGTGTTTCAAAGAAAAATAGAAAAGATCAACTATCAACTATATAACCAACACAACTGAACATGAGTTGGACAAACATGAAGTTGCAAAGGAAGAACAAGTGTGGACGTTTTACAAGTCCAATGTGGACAGAAGTCATTTGGTAAGAATGCTTTGATATCGCTTTTTATGGGAATCATTTGTGTTACGCGCTGTTATCGTTGGTTTTATCAAAATCGATTATGAATCAATAATCATGCAATAATGAACATAAATCGACGAGTAAAACTATTCGTTGGCGCTTTTAAAAATGTTGGTATATTCCAATTGTAAACTGCATATATAGCTAATAGTAATAATTCAATTTATCACCTTAAATCTGGTATTGTAACGAAACTATTCCGAATAATTATAATGGAGCCCACACTTCGATTCTAATAATAATATGATAATAACTTCTTATCAACCCAGTGCGAGGTCTTTACCGAGAAATATCGGACCGAGATCTTTTTGAACAGATTGAGCTCGAAGAGCGAGGATTGTACAAAAAGCAAGCCCGATATTTCTTCGTTAAGACTTAGCAAGCGAGGCCCATTACGGGGAAGGACCGGTCCATTACGGGAAAGCCCGCCAATAACACAGCCTTGGCCTTGATAATTTCGATACCATGTTCAACCTCATTCAATAATTGTTTAGTATTTTTTATATAAAATAATTCACAACCTGTGATTGGCTAATACCCACGCCTGAGCGTCCCGATATCCAACGTGTGATGTCATAACGTGTGGTACGACTTTTTTCTTGCACGCGCAATTACGTCAAGCATAATGTGTGATAAAATATAAATGATAACCAGTAGTTTAGATACCACGAAAAAATTCTGCGATCAATGTTACAAATGTAAACATATCTCGATGAGAGTCGAATTTTGTAGTTGTTCATAATTAAGAGATATTGACATAATACAAACCGTATATAACCCCAAGCAGATGTTTAGGCATGGTCTACATGTTTAAAGTCATATTCAATAAAGCTTCTATTTAGTCGTTCGTGCATGCATGTTATAGATTTGAATTAATCTAAGCTTTTCTTGTCTTTATGTGAAGTATGCAAATCAGTATATTCATTGCCAGAAATGCAGGCCCATAACCGGTTAGGTGTGGACTCGTGCGGTTCAGTTTTCTGTTCATTATTTTTGGCTGAATTCGAAACAGACAATGTGCATATGGTAGCAGGTAGTAATATAAAAAATGGCCCACTTGAGATGCTAGCCACGCCACTTAGTTCAATGTTGAATACCTAATCGATTTGCATAATTATCATAGCAACTGCAATGAATCATAGCAACAGCTAAAAAAGCTAATAAAGGCCATCAAAATGAACTTCGCCCGCTTATCGGGACAGCCCGGCTTACAAGATCTCGGCGCTAATTGCTGCCGAACCTCAGCCAGGCAGCACACTATTCTTGACGTTACATGACGTTCTTGCTTCTCGTGCCCAGTCCCCGGCCCAGTTATGTATTGTCGACGTAAATCTCGATCTGCTTTCTGCTTTGGGAGATGTCTCTGCATTTCCAGGGAGCTGATTACGAATTTAAGTTTGTTTGTAAAATGAGGGGGGCGTCAGACTTTCTATTGTGTACGCAGCCTGGGAAGCAGTTTTTAACAGCCATATTTCTAAGTATTCAACAGCAATACAAAGGCATATTCAACAGCCATACGAAGGCAGATAAGGCATATAAATATATTCATTTGTGTGGTAATAAGTATTCAAAAGCCATACGAAGGCAGAACAGACGTGTGAAGGCATGTAAATATATTCATTTGTGTGCTAATGTTACGCTAAATATTCAGCAGCCGTATCGCTTAGTATTCAACAGCCATACGAAGGCAGATTCAACAGCCGTGTGAAGGCATATAAATATATTCATTTGTGTGGTAATGTTACGCTAAATATTCAGCAGCCATATCGCTTAGTATTCAACAGCCATACGAAGGCATATTCAACAGCCTTAATGCCAAATATCCAACAGCCGTTTGAAGGAATATAAATATATTCGTTTGCGTGGTGATGTATTCAACAACAGCCACGCGAAGGCATATATTCAAAGCAGCTCAACTTAATACGAGATTAATAAAGACAGCTGCGTGAAGGCATGTAAATATATTCGTGTGGTGATGTTCTAAAGTTCTAGGTATTCAACTGATGCCAATAACCCTTATCACACTGTTTAGTTGTTTTACCGAATACGTGTTCTGTAGTTTTGAAGCCGAAGCAACAAATGTCAACCATTCACAAAAACCACAAATTTCATAAAAGTATGGTGTGAAAAATAAGTTAATCAAGTATTGTGAGACAAAATTACATAAATGTTTTTTATAAAATGACTCACATAACAAAGTCATGAAGTTAATTAATTTTAGTATAATTTATAGCCACCATCTTATGGCTGTAATTTGTCTTCAGGATCTCTTAATTCTCTTTCTGCTATAAAGACAAATAACTATGGCTACTATATTGAATATTTGGCTGATGATACCAGAAATCTCATAAACGTACGGTGTGTAAAAAAGTTAATCAAGTATTGTTAGAGAAAATTTGATGTTTTTATAAAATTACTTACACTTAACAAATTTAATTTGGTATCAATATAGCAACCACTTTGATTATGGCTGTAATTCGCCTTTAGGATCTTTTAACTCTTTGCCATAAGGACCAGAAACTATAGCTACTAGATTAAATATCTGGCTGATGACTGGAGATGTAATCAACCAATGCATACTTAATAGGGAATGCTTCAAGAAAAACCATTTACTTTTGAAGAATATTAATTCATGCAGTCGATTCTCAAATATTTTCAATTTTTAATAAAAAAAAATTAATATTAACTTTAATTAACAATCCGTCAACAATAACAACAATTTTCTTAAATCTAAGGTATGTACAAATCTATGGTGTGTACAAAATTCATTTTGTGCTGTACAACAAAATGACTTTAGCTAGAACTAATAAGAACAATAACAAACTACATGTTTTTATAAAATGACTTTACCTAACATTGTTCATTTAGTATGATTTGGCTAAATGTTCACCAGATGGAGTTTTTTATCACTTAGACCTGGTTTACACTTGCAAAGTTTCTGTGATCACAATAGGAATTTTACATGGATAAATATTACATTTTAGTGATAAATGTTTTAGGAAAGTCCTTCAGCGTTATCCACAAAGTCAGTTTCATGCAACATTAATAGACCTTTTCAGTAATTATGTCACAATTACATTAAAGTGAGGTTGAGGGGCCAATATCATTGGGCAACTTAACCAAAGAAAATTTTGCCTCATCGACCTGGTAATTACAAATAACGTCCTTTAAAACAATTCCATTACTGGTATACTGTTACCTGATGATTGTGTGGTATCAGTGGGAAACAGGTTAACGTCATGAACCTGATAGTTACAAATAATGGCCTTTAATTGGTTATTAAAACTGTTCTAAAATGGTATATAGCCATGTCATTATAACAGTGATAAACTTTAAGAGAACTGTGTTTCAAGAATTAGTATTTTAAACTTTGCACAATATACGTACATGCATTCAGTGTGAAAGATGTTATAAAGTCCGTTCTGCGCATATATACCGCGCATAACAATGTTTGTTTACGTTTGTTATATAATCTTTACTTGACGTATGTGTCGTTTTAATTTTCTTATTTTCTTCTCGTTCTCATAAATAAACCGTGACCTAAAACTTTATATATTTGTAATTGTAGGACAAGCGAGAAAGTAGCGTCTGTAGCGACGACAAATAGCCTCGCCATATGGTGTCCTCATTCATCAAATAAATTCTTGAAGCATTCCTTTCAAAATAATATTGCTTTTTTTTAGCAGCCCTATCTTCATCACTCGCAATTCGAGCCTTTTCGCCTTGCGACATAAAATAAAATAATTGTGCTTCCGAACAGTCGTTTGTAATACAACGCACTAATGTCGCATACATTAACATTCCGAAAGTTGCTCCCCCACTGATGGAATGTGTTGCTGCGCGGAAAATATGCGCAGAACGGACTTTACCTTATCTTTAATTGTTGAAAATTTTGATGTACGTAGTAAGTAGGATTCTCTATTGCACTGTGATGTTTTGTGATGTCTATGATGCGCAATCTTAGGTAAATAATGCCATGTGTAATGTGTCATGTTAACTAATTTAATTAATGTAATGAAATGTCTGTGTAACTTTAACTTTCTCCGTCAATTAATGTAAAATTATATTTGACACAAGAGGCGGACTTCTTATAGAAAAAAAATACTTATTGTGAATTTATGTTAATGTATTGTTAAAAGAATTTTTCTTGAATACTAAAAAAAAGTGTATTGTGTTATATAGATCACACAGCTAAATAGACATACGCTGATGTCATGATGTTACTCATAAAAAATTTATATAGCTAACTAATCTCTCAAATATCTAATATTCTTTGATGTGACTGTACGTCACTAATTCTACCAATGACAACACCATACAATGACAGTCATGTTCCCCAACGTACGAATCAAATTAGCTTCCAGTTTCCCGGCACGGCAGCATTTTTCTTGCGATAGTAACTTCCCTAATAAAAATTTCTGTGCGTTTAGTATGGACAGGCGGGTTGACCCGCTTAACGAGATCCCGCTCGAAAGAGGCGAGAGCTCGCTTAGGGGGATGAAAATATTTTCATATGAATTCTCCAAGCGGGCTGTCAGCCTAGCCCGTTTGCCGAGGTAGAACCAATTTTTTTAATTTCTTATGTTTCTCGGCGTTTCGTATTATATTTTTCAACACTACATGATTAAAAACGAACAAACGGTGGCAACGTACTTTAATATATGCTGATATATACATTAGTATGTGATATGAACTTTAAACGCAAAGCCAATAAAGGCGATGTAAATAACTCTATCCCGACAAGCGGGATGAACAGCCCGTATAAACAGCCCCTAAGAATTCAGCCATTTGGTCTTTGGCTTCGGCTGGCATAGCAAAACTACTCTCCGTGCACGTATCTGTTTATCAATGCTAAACACCTGCTGAAAGTTTTATCACCTTTTTTTGCATGCAGAAAAGATCGCAGAGATCTGACGACATTGTTCACAACAACCACTTGTTTTGTTCGCTGTGGTACTTGTGAAGCTATCAAATTCATTCTTCCGGAACAAATTGCCTGAAGGCAAAATCATTAGCTTAATTCGCTATCGGCGGAAAACTGCGAGTAAATAGCAGACAAAAGTCGTAATTCGCGCGTGAATTAATTCGTCCGAAATACATTAACCATTTGCGACAAGCATTATGATATATACATTAACCATAATTATGACAAATTAGGAAAGATGAAAATCCAGTTGTAGATCAACTGTCCTCCTTGTCAACTGTCCTCTTGATTATGTCAATCATGCCACTAAATTGCGTAAATAGGTTATGTAAATTATAGCAGTATATATTATAGCAGCATATCGAAGCGACCAGCGTGTGAAATGATGAAAGCAAAATACATTTAATAATATTACACTGGAGACAGCATTTGACACCACCGAACTATTTTAACTCGGATTACTCAACAAGGATCAAGCCCTGGACATCGGCCAAAATGTAGGTATAACTGAAACCGAATGTATAGGTATAAATAAAATATTAATTCTGGTCAGTTAGCACTCGTCCGGTTTTCACAACACGTTGTTTATAAATTATCATCAATGACTATTTTATCTAATATCTCTACTCTTGGTATTAGAACTAAAAAATATAATTATGTGTTTCTTATTATAGCCTTTTCAATCAAAGGCGTCTCTGAGATCGGAATTCTTTTTTAAACATAACGCAGCAAATATTAAGGTTGACTAATGTGTGTTTAACCGACTTTAACTGAGCTAATTCACAAGAATTATTCATGTTATTAATTTTAATGAGCTTTATGAGCATGGGCCTCATATAACGAGCTTTATGAGCATGCAGGAATTGATATTTCTGAACAGGGTTGGTAGATTTTATGAATAAATAAGCCAAATATATTAACATAACATTTGTTTTCTTTGTTTAAAACAAAGGAATCAAAGGGCCGCCAATAACAATGTTTGGCTTATTTATTCAGTAACTTACCAACCCTGTTTCTGAATATACTTTAGTTCATCAGTAAAACTGTAATAATAATTATAATGTGAGTGTAAAAAAAAATACAGCTGTAAAAACTGTTTACCGGACCCTCTTTAGCACTTGAAGAGCAGTTAGAGGACCTCTGTCTCGAAATCAAAGAGCTCTTAACGCTGTAAACGCACATGCACGAAGCTGGCGGTCATGCGTTCATTGCGTTGTTGTTGATATATCTTTGTTGAGAATGAGTCTTTGAAGACTTAGTAAAGGCATTTTATACGACATTCCCAATAGACTGTCAGCGTCAACAAGCGTGTTTACATGCTACCTGAAGTTCTTCGGAAAAGGTCAAATTTAAAAGCACTAGTGTTTGCCGAATGGGATTCATATAATGAATTCTAACAGAGATTTTAGCTATTAACAATAGGTTCGGCAAATGAAAAGTTTGATATCTGAGGCGGACCTAAAGCAATAAGGGAAAATTTCGTTTTAGACCAACCAACAAGCTTGTTACATTTTCAATAACCCAATCAGAATGCATCGATATAGATGAAAAGTACAACAGCTAAATACCTTTCCTTCCACGGGAAAACATACGTTAATTAACGCTATTTCGTTCGTTGAAAAATATCGTTCGTTATCCGTTCGTTATCCGTTCGTTTACCGTTCAAACGCTTCCAGCGTTCGTTGAAACGACTCTTGTTCGAGATCATTCATCGTTCGAAATTGCCCGTTCCAACTTAACGCTGAGGAAAAAACGTTCGAAAACTGTTCCAAAAGCGTTCACCCGTTTGATTTACCGTTCGTTGAAACGTTTGCCGGAATTTTGTTCAATCGCATTGGATTTGGTTCAACATTAAGTTAAACATTTTGCAATGTTAAACTTTATAGAGGAAGCGCAGAATGTGTTACACAGAAATAATCCTAGAATAGTAGGCTTGTAATGGGGTTATATAATTTTAGCCGAATCAAATGCTATTATATACGTGCACCTCATGATTTCGTCTTAGCGTTATGCAGACATGAAAGGCAATATTGCTATTCAGTGCTGGCAATTATTTCATTGATGTTCATAATAACATCATTAATTTCACGTCATAAACGCTTCATCGTCAAAAAGCTTTCTTTCAAAAATTTATCGTTTTTTGAATGCCGGTAATGCAATGATTATAATCTTTACTTTAATTAATACTTCTGTAGCTTCCATAAAGCCAAAGTTCACCACGCGCACAAACAACGTCGCAAGCTATATAATTATATTGAGCATTACGAGCTATAAGCCATGGGAAGGCGCTGTCGGAGTCTCTAAATGTATGAAAACAGACAAAACCCGATATAAAAATGAATTGCGGAACTTTGCGTGTAACATATTGCCAGGCCTGATATTATCTTACTTCTAAACCATTGAAGTTTTGTAAATATGATCTAGCATTAATAAAACTCATGCATTTTTCAAATTTATTTAGACTTTCAATTCACAAAATTTACTTCATGCACATTAATGTATGCACATTTCAGCACAATTCACTCTCCATGTATTTTTACGTCTGCGTAGCAGCGGAGTCTTAAAATGCTTGTCCTCGATGCCACAAACGCGCTCCTTGATAAATAGATACATGTAGGTGCATTTGTGGATAATCTGACGTCGGAACCTTTCAAGTTTGAAATTTTACACAACAAATACGGCGAAAGTGTAATAAAAAATAGTGGTAAACTCGTGTGTTATGCTTCTCTATGCCTGTATCCAACAATTTAAAAGAGTAATTATTGCTATTCTGTGGTAGATGTGATTGAAACTTTCAGAGCGATCTAAGGAAAGGTAGATTATGCTTTTTAGTATAATAGAGCGTAAATATCTTGATTTTTTTCTTTATTCAATGGCCATCGCAAATGATTGCGATTTATAAACTAAGAACTATGCTAATTAGAGCCTTGCTTTAGAGGCAATATTCTCCCTAACTGTCGCATTATATCTCGCTGCAGGCGGAGAAAACGTCTGAGCTGGCATCTTGTTTGGTTAAAATTTGATTTCCCTCCACTAGGTCCTATATTTGAAAACGCGGAAAAGGCTTAGATTGTAGAAATGATAGAAATTGTATGAGAGTAATGTGTAATAATAAAACCACAAAGCGGTCGCCCAATGAACATCATATTATACTTTACCTGTGTAAATGAAGCAATCTGATTGGCTGAGAAGCGTTTCACAGCGGGCCGGAATTTTACATCAAAACAACAACAAAACTCAACAAGACGACAAAACCAAAGCAACTTTCGGCTAAAATGTGTGAAAACCTTACTGGAAAAGGCTAAAAGACTGTTAAAAATAAAAAACATACCCGAAAAACTTCTTAGTTCTGATTTTTAGTATGTGCGAGTGGAGGCTGGGCTTTATCAGTGTCCTAAAAATTTGCAAAACTTTTATTTTTAAAAACAGGCATATTAACGTGGTTAATGTAAAAAATATTAATTTTCTATTTGCATGAATGATGAAAACCGACAAAAGAATGGCGGCAACGTTGTACGTGCATGGAACTAGTTTTTTTATACCTTTTGTATAACTTGGCGTAGTTTTATGGTTGACCAAGCTGAGCGCGTCGTCGGGCTGACTGCAAAGTAAATCCCACTCTCTTTTGTCTCTTTATATAATTTAGACAGTTGTCCGTTCAACCTCGTACCCAGGGTGTTTTCACCCAGAGTCTTGTTGTCAGTTGACACATTTGATGCAAAGCTGTTTTTTCTTCTCTCATTTGATTGACGGTTTTATTTCAATCATATGCATGCACACTTTTTTTCATATTTTTGCTATTTTCTTAGGAACCATATGCAGTATTCTAATTTTTGGTTTATGTTTCTCGTTTTCACTTTGATCTCGCGGAATGTTAATGGAGTCTGTAAGCCACAACCAGGTATGCTTAATGATAAAACATTGTTTTCAAAATTAACAAATGAATGATTGAGGGTTCTGTTTTTCAGGTCTTCGCAACAAAAAATTAAAAGCTTTTCGTTTACCCACTGCTCTCTATTTTATGTACGTTTTCCTCTGACAATATGAGCCTGCAAAAGTTTTAATTTGGATCAGCATTAAACATTTCCTCTCTTTACGGGGCGAGGAACCATTTTCTGTGATGAACAATTGCACCCTTTCCATCCAAGTTAATTAGCTACGAAACCTTTTTCTAGCTATAGTCGTGCATGTGTCGTGTCTTCCTGTCCTTGTCGATCTTAGGGGATCGAGTCCATTGAATAATGAATTATAACAACAGTCAGATCTTTCTTTGTTGAACTGAAATCATTAGTAACCCTAATATATACGATACTTATAATTACATTACGCGACGAACTTACAAAGACGAACTAGAATACGAACTATCTTTCGCTTGCCCAAGTTCCTCTAAACTTTTCTTATTTTCCATTGCAGAATGCGGACGAGCAACACCAAAGAATGTTAAGTTTTCTGGTCCTATTACTGGGCCGAGATATTATTCGCATCCGGGACCACTAACTTTGACCTGTAATGCATCTGGTGATATACAAGAGATGTACTGGGAACGAACTGATAATGATGGTACAGTGCGACAATTGAGTTACACAACATTTGGGAGAGTTTCGTCCTTTTGGATTGCAACATTAGACAACTATTTATCCACAAACAGATCTAAGTTTAGTTTCATCTGTGTAGCTTTGGATATTTGCTGTAATAAACAGATAACAAAACGACCCAAAACAATAGAACTAAGGAAATCTGAAGCTACTCCAAGTAAGTTCTCCCACCATATTTTAATAGTTTTGGTCTTTTACTTTTACATCATTTTTTCTTTGCGAGCGAAAATCATAGAGGGTTTTAAAAACTCGCGGATTTTGTGTGCCTGAAAAATACGCCCGTTGGCTAAAGACCTATTTAATCAAAATCCTGTTAAATCTGACTTATTACACCGAAATAAGAAGAAAAATCGCCCGTGTCAACAGGTGCACACTTTTAAATGCAACTGTCTTTGATAAATGCAATAATTTATATTCTTGCCAAACAAATTAAGTATAACTTGGTACTTCGAGGTACTTGTGCACTCTCTTTTGGATTAATCATTTTGCCGTTTTACTAATTTTGTAGGCAAATGCATTAAAGATGTTTTGATTATTGTTGATACTTCAACTTGGCGAGAATACATAAACTTTATATTCTGTACAGTCTTTCTTAATGTACTTGTCGACAATCTTCAACTGAATGTTTCACCAGAAGGAAGTCATATTTCAATCATGACGTTTAGTAATGAGAGTACTAAAATAATATTATCAATGAAAAGTCGGAATAAAACGGATGTGCAAAGAAGAATCTTCGGGCTCCGCCATCCCTTTTGGATAAATTATCAAGAAAAAAGAACAGATGTAGCTTTATTAAAAGCAAATAAGGTAAGTCAAATTGTTTATGGTTTCAAATCTAATCATTTATTCAGTGAATATAATTATAAAATAACATGTATATAATGCGTGTTCTGATTGGTCGAATCACGCGTGTTCTGAATTGGACGGCCTGATCCAAACACGGAAATTTAAAGTTTTAAAAAATTTAAATCTAAATTCGCGCGCTTTTCTTAATTCTAGCAACACTCCCGCGTGTTTGGATTCGGCCATCTAAACACGGAAACTATTAAGTAATAGTATACTAGAAATACATGCATGCAGCAACCCCTCGCCTCAATTGAACGAAATCAGTTAAGCATAGGGATGGTAACATGATTGTTAGAAAATTTATGTGGGTTGGGGGTTTGGGAGGGTACATGGTATGAAGAGAAAAAGAAATTGAGAAAAGTATGGAAATGTTCTTCTGCACGTGGAAACGCTGTAGTCATAGCAACTCGCAACGGCTGTATATTTTTAAAGAATCAAAGTTTATCCTCATATTTTTGTGAAAAAATGGCAAACATACGACAAGATTCCTACCTTTTTCAGGAAGTTAGGTCACTCATCTATAGTCAGTGTCATGGTAAATTGTTTTGATTATTAATTACCATGAAATATAACATCAGACGCCTCATACGACTTCCCAAGTTTTATGTGATGCTTCGACTGGTTTTTGTACGGTTTTTGTCATTATGAAAACGGAGTTTATAAATGAAATTATACTGTCGCTTATCACATAACACATTCAGATTTATAGTGAAATACATTTGAGAATATTAAAATTGTGTTTACCACAAAAGAATTACTTTTTATAGCTGTGCCGGATGAAATATTATGAAGTGTAAAATTTTCCGACTTCATTATACACGGTGAATTCGGTCGAAACTCGAAAGTCCTGACCACATTCGAGTTTTCCCCTAATTTAATTAAAAATACATATATTCCACATGTATGAAAACACAAATTTAAAAATTTCATCAAAATTTTGCGAAATGACAGTTATTCACTCATGTTTGAAAATACAAATTTTTGTCTCTACCAATCAAGAGCTTAGTAGTTCTCACTGGCGCATGCGCATAACGTAGAAGACCGTCCATGAAGACCGCCTTTGCACATCGTTGGTGTAAATATCCGAGCGGAATTAGTACCCTTGCACGGTGCTTCGCACCGGCTCGGGGATTAAAAAAAGTCAATAACACTTTTTTTCAGAAAAAAAAAATTCTGCTATTAAATTATAGCACTGGAAATATCTCAAATTATTAGTATTATTTAATATATTAACTATATTGAGCCATCCTAAAATCAAGTATGGTTTTAAGTCTTATTTTAATGGTTTGCGACGATAAAAGCATCCAAGATTATCTTTAAGGTTAGCGGCCAAATCAATAACCATCAATTTGTGACCTGCATCCTTTCCTTTACAATAATAACAAAAAGCGTGTATAATAGCGTCTATATACCGGCTCTAAATATACATAGATTGATTCTTTTACAGATATTCAAGAGAAATAATTCACTAAATCATCGAGAAGATAAAGATGATGTCATAATTCTGCTCACTGATGGACCACCAACGCAAAGGTCGGGAAAAGGGGAACAACCGCACGACACCGCCATAGCTGAAGCAAAGAAACTGAGAGACAAAGGCATAATCATTGTTGGGATTGCTGTTGGTAACCGTCAACAAAATGTTAGAACTGTGCCATTCTTGACAAATATATCAACAGCTGGTCAAACGCTTCCATCAACATATCCTGATTTGATTCTGTTGAGCGACAGAATAGTCTACGCTTTCTGTCCCAGACCTCCCCCTGGTGAGACTTCATTCTTTATAAACTTTCCAGTAAAATGCTGACCCGAAGAGCTAGTATAGATCCTATACGATGTCCGAAAACACGATAATTACTGAATTATGAATAAATTGTTGTCTGGTTGTGGCGTTCGGCGGAAACATTTTGTTTTCAAATTTTTCTCTTCTGTCGCCAGTTAACGCTATATCAAAAATTTTAGTACCGAAAGCTAAGAATAAATAATATTTTTATCTTTGGCAATTATTAATTTACTCCTACTCCTAATCATTTGACGAATGATTATAGATATTACCATTTTAAATTTAGGTTTCAAATATTTCACGTATCAAATAATATTGTTTCCCTTATCGATACATCCTAGAGCTACATATTCGTATAATTTGAATTCTGCCTCTCTTCAAAAAATGGCGGATTTCATTCAGTTTTTAAAACATTTGGAGAAATTTGCATGCATGATCATCACAATTTACAGACTTTACTCTTACACCTATTTTTAGGACCAAGTGAACCTAGAAACGTATCCGTCGTGGTACATGAAAGAAGTTTAACACTTTCATGGCTGAACCCAGAAATTGCTGCTGATAATATTGTCGATCATTATCTAGTATCGTGGGGGACAAATCAGAGTGACTTTTTACTCCAAAAACAGGTTGTGTCAAGTCCTTTTTTATGTGATTTTGGTGAGTTACGCACTATATTATTTAATATAGCTGAAATTGCAACAGAAGTTATGCTAAAAGTTTTTGAAATATTCAAACAAATTTCGTATAAGCAATAATGTTGAAATCAATCACTTTCACAACAATGTACCTTACACCAACCGAAGCGAAATGGCATAGAAACAGCGCCCGATGATCGTCGCCGTTTTAAATATCAATAAAATGTAACTATATGACAATGCCCTTCCTGCACAGTCAAAGTTTAGTGTGAACTTCGAATTTAAAATTTTGTCAGTTTCCCGTGCCTATTAATTGCCATTTCATGGGGACTAAATATAAACTTCTCATAACTGAGAAAACTGTTTATGACCAGTAATCTTCTAGTCATCGATCTAATAAATCTTCTAGTCATCTATTCATTTCCTTCATTTTTTAGAAAAACCTGGATTGTACAATTTTAAAGTGCAAGCTGTTGATAAGAATGGTATCAGTGGTGAAGCCGTCTATCTTTACAACGTAACAATCAAGGGGCGGAAGGATGTTCCGACAAAGAGTGCAGAGAATCTACGAGGTGTTTCGACGGACAAACAACAAACCACAAAAGCTGTAAATTCACGATCAAACAATAATGTTTATGCCATAGCCGGGGGAGTAGCAGGATCTGGTGTGTTTATTTGCCTGGTTGCGTTTTCCCTTTTATTTATAGTAAAGAAAATTCAGAATAGACGCAGAGATATTTCGATCAAGGTAAAACCAACAGTTTCCATGTATTATATATATTATATACAGCAATGATATAAAATATAGACATTTACTCAGTGGAGCAGCCATGCAGCATCGATAATTGGGGTGGAGCCCATATTTACTTGTTAACAGACTGTAAAGACAATTCATTTGATTTGAAAAGAATTTAATCCTGCGTATCACGAATATATGAATATGGACCCCCAAATTCTCCTTCTGGCTACGCTTTTTTTTTGTTTCAACAGCGTGTGATGAAACAGTGTGCGATGATTGCTATAAAATGTATCACTAAATATTGCATATTTGTATGTAACTCCGCTGCGTGTTTCTTAGGAAGAAAAATGGCAACAGAAGATATTTTCTTGCATGATAGGAAAAAGCATGCAGGCACGGCTACATGCATCATGCATGGCGTGTTTTTGCAGATGTTCTGTTTGCTTTAACCTTGTCAACCTTTTGAGATATTACGATTATTACCGACATAAATTTTCGCCTCCGTAATCAAGGATGTTCACATCTACTGTAATAGACCGGCCTTTCCCCTTTTTGGCGTTCAAGTGCCCAATGCGTGACTCACGGTAGTTGATTCCGCCATATATGTTCAGAAGCGATTTATTTCTAGATTAAGTTAACGATCAACAAAAAACCAAAAGAATCGGAAAGCTTTTCTTACAACGAAAAAATCGCTTCCAAGCAGAGCGATATCGCAGCTCAAAGTTGTTTGATAATCAACTATATATCGTCACGCATTGCAAGCATAATAAGGGGAAAGATCTATTGCATCAAGTATATGCAAAACAGAATGTCTGAAAACTAATGTTTACTGAAGATGTAGATCTTTATGAAGAAAATCAAAATTACATAAAAAAATATTACCATATACATTTTTTTCTTGTTTCTTTACATGACAGGAATTTGAATCCTGGATC